CTTAGTCTCCGATGAGCTCTGGGTAAACTACCATCTCTTACATTATTATCTGTTAATGATAATATTCGTCTTTCTTCACTTGATGTTCTTTATGGATCAACATCACTCAATATCCTTCGAGCATCAAATTGTATGATCAATCATCTTCCTACTAATATTCCAAATTTACATATAATCGAATTAGATAGTAATGAACTTACATCTCTCAGTGGTTTTGAAACGATTACATCACACAATAGTACTTTGTTTTCATTTAATAATAACAAAATTGCATCTGTTTCAAGCGGTTCATTAGCAAGAATTGATACAGTTAATGAGTTTTATTTATCCAACAATCAACTTACAGCATTACCCGATTCAATTTATTTAATCAACGATTTGAAAAAAGTCAGTATTCAAAATAATAAATTTGATGTAATTGAAAAAGAATGGATTCAAGGTATATTTCGAATAATAAATACTACTCTTATTATCTAATATAATCACTTTTTGTTTTCTGAAAATAAATTATTAATTAATGATTGATATAATTCAAAAGTTTGATATTGTGATAAGAGTATGTATGGAATTGAAGATCTTAATTTCTATATTTTTCATGGTGCTAATAGAAGTGAATGAGAATATTAATTTCAGAGTCATATTCTTAGATGTAGCATCCGCCTTTTCTAAAGTATCTCTAAGTAAATAAAGAATCTTTTTCTGCCTGAATACCTACGTATTATTCACTCCTTTTTACTACATTCTAGAACATGTACTGAATTTTTGGTTAATTCACATTTTGAATTTCCTTTGAAATTTTTCAGAAAAGTATATTCACGAACAATTTTTTTCTCATCTCTCTAAACCTTACAATTTAGAAAACTTAAAAGAGGAAGGAACTTATTGTTATTGTCGTTTTCTTTAGTGTTAGAAGGCGGAGAAATCTCTAATATTTTGAAATTCTATCAGAGATTTTCTGCATGAAGAATATGTAAATAAAATTTTCTTTTCGTCATTCGAACGAAGACCAACTGTCATAATAATAATAAATTATACAATTTTTTAGAACAAACCATAATAGAACAGCATTAATCTAAAGACTAAACTGGACATAAAAATCGAGTTTGAGAAAAAAACTAAAAACATTTGTTTGTCAATACCGTTTCAATCTGGCTAAATCGTGACAATTATATATCTAAAACTAGTTGATTTCACTGCATATTGAACTATGTTGGTCACGACTAGAGTAATAATCGATAGTGTCGCTTATTGATGATTGTTGTTAGTGTTTCCTATTGTTTCTACAATAAAAATCGCTTTAGAAAAGTGTGGGCTGGGCGATTACAGGCACAAACACCTACACGCACCCAGAAGAAAATTATTGTAGTCTATCTTCGGGAACAATTCGCTTTACAACAGATCACATGAACAATGCAAGTTAAGAATAGAACATAATTTCTTTGAGTTATTATTATATTTCATCAGATATCATCATGTGGCTCAATGTAAATAGCGCAGTTTATAGAATGTGAAAATATTATTGATATTTATCAGTATTTGATGATATAACTTTAATCTGATAATAATTTGATTTTCATGTTGTAACCATAGATAAATAGCAGTCGTGTTTGGTATCACTTTTTATTTATTAATGCCACATCATAAAAAAAATTTCTCAATGATAGGTTTCTTTTTAAATTTAGATTATATGCATATAAAAAATCAGCAATATTACTTGTCATATTTAAAATCATGAATTTACATTTAAAAATTCTCATTCAAAATAAGAAGCGTAAAGTTTCTGTCTCATCACATTAACAGTACTGAGAGAATACAAGATAAATGAATAATACATTGATGTATGAGATAACAACTTCGAAGAGTTTACAAAAAAGTAAACTGTCACTTTCCTATCTCACTCCATTTTATAATCATGTCTTTTGAATAAAACACACATGAATTCACATTGTATGAATTTAAATATTTTGCTAGTTTTTATTTATACTCAGAGTAATATTCTATTATCATAAACAACATTCAACATGAGTAATATATCAACAAGTACAATCGATCCAATTATTATAAGACTAAATATTGCTCGCGCAGGAATACAACAATATGGACAACCGACTCTCTTTACTATTGGAATAATTGGATGTATATTAAATATTCTCATATTTCTTCGACCATCCATGCGAAAGAATTCATGTGCAATTTATTTTCATGCAAGTTCATGGGGGAATTTCTTTTGTTTAACATGGGGTGTATTAGCTAGTATGCTTGCCTTTTTCACCAATAATAATCCATCTAATTATAGTGATGTTTATTGTAAAATTCGTAATTATATGATAAATTTTTCACAATTTTCAAGTCGAGCTTTTATTATCCTCGCATGTTTGGATCGTTTTCTTCTTTGTTCAACATCAGTTCGTCAACGACAATTTTGTCGCCCTATTATAGCAATAAAAATGGTCGTTTTTGCTATATTAATCTGTGCATGTCTACCAGTTTATATATTAATATCATATAAATCTCGTCAAATAATCATGCCATGTATGGTGACAACACAAGCTGCAAATATATATGAAACTATTAGTATTTGGATGCTTAATGTTACAATTCCGACATTATCAATGAGTATCTTGAGTTGGTTAACAATCAAACGATTAAAAGCGAATGCGAAACGCGTTGGACGTGAAAAAGTGAGTTTTGTAATTATAGGTGGGTGTGAGTATGAGTGCCTATCTCTTATCCACTCACCCACACCCTCAAAAATACTATAAATCAGTAGGATTGAAGATCGTATGTTAAGCTGTTGTTTTAGAAATTGAAAATATCAATTCTGATTGTTTTTGTTTGTAATATAGATTCGTGTGAATGGTAAAGACAGTCAATTAACAACAATGCTTATTGCACAAGTTCTTCTATATATGGTGACAAATGTACCATATTTTATTTTCATTTTTTATGCAAAAATCAACGAAAATGTACCAACATCAAGTAAATCACTATATCGAATTACTATTGAGTCATTTTTAGCCACTCTACTTACAAGTTTTTTTATTATGTTTTTAATGGGGTGAGTATCTTTTTACTATAACAATATTCTTCTAAACAACAAAAAATCATATTTTTCAGTAGTCATTCTTTGTTTATACATTAACTGCGCCAAGTTTTCGTCGTGAATTATTAATGATATTCTCACGTTTATGTTTATGTAAAACACCACACAACAATAATCAACATACAAGAACGCGTAGTGGGCGTATTCATCCAATAAATCAAAATATTGCAACTATTAATCCTTAAGCAATACGACATAGACCTGAAGAATTATTCTCTATATCAACTTAAACATTTTCTAAACAAGTGACTAAAGAAGATTTATTATCTAGTCTTGTTTATCCACCAATTGAAAAAATTCATACAGTATCAAGAAAAATTGCTGTAGCATTAGCTGAATATTCTAATACATTACCACCACGAAGGGATTGGTAAAAAAAATTAATTTCGTTCTTTTCTGCTTGGGTATAACGAATCTACATCTATTGATTAATAATAAAAAATCGAGAAATAAAAATATTTTATTTTAATCAAAGTATTTTGTTTTGGGTAATCGGCGTGCAAATATTGATAATACTATTATGAGAATAGATGCACACACATTCCATATACTCAGGGGTGGCGCGAGTCAGTCAACATTGGGGGGGTGTAATGAAAAATTTTGAATTTTTGGGGGGTATAATGGAATTTTTTTGATTTTTTAGGGGGTGTAGCATGATCTTTGCTCAAAAACTTAAGAAAATTTGCCGATTTTGTTGAGCAAAAAATAGAAATTTACAAAGATTGGGGGGGGGGGGTGTTACACCCTCCCGGTCGCGCCACCCCTGATTATTTGTCGTATAACGATTATACTGAAAAGTTCTGTTGTGAATTTTTGATACCAAGAAACGTCGAAAAGAGAATTGGGCCTTCTTTTCCTATTATTCGTATGAACTTGCTATTCATAGGAAACTAGAGTGTGTAGGTGTTTGTAAGAGCGAGTTATATGCCTTTTTACAAAGTTGGGTATTTGTGGCTTTATCATAAATTACAAATCTCTGATAAATTGTGGTCGACCTTATATATGAGGGGAGTACTCTAGAGCGCGGATCTTCAGTTTTTAAAACAATTTAATTCAAAGATATTTTACGTAGTTTCTACAAACCATTTTCATCTTATATTTTGTATAGAAATTCTATCTTATCTAAATTCCAAATTGCACAAGGTTGTCGATATCAAAGAAATTATTTTTCCATGTTATTTTTTCCAAACAATCAGAGTTTAATAAGGGTATTTTTCTACTCTAATATGCAGAAAACATGTTGTTGTTCAAGCCAAAAAAAGAATTAGCGTGGCTTTCTTTTGCGTAAACGATTCAAATAATGCCATATTGTGTCAACACCGCAGGCAGAAAGATATTTCTCTTGCAACTTATGCTTAGATTTTTTAATCATCTTGACTTCATAAAAAGCAAATAATAGTAACGTTCTACTCCTTCTAATCACCTAATTCAGTGCTCGGCAAAATGGTCCTCTTGTACCAAATGTATTCTAAAACAGATACGAAATTTTTAAAAACTGTTAATAATTCCAAATAATCATATAAACTACAAAGATACTATATAAGTTGTAACGATTCCCAAAAAAACTTACAAAATAATGTTCGAGATGCTGGTACACAACATATTCCTTACACATTGTGAAACAACAGCGTGATACTCATACTATTTTTATCTTCTTTACACATAGATACTCACTACATTGAATCTTGTTGACGATCAAATCAGAGATGTTGGGGCACAACATCTTGCTGCTGGTTTAAGAAATAACAGGGTAATTCTTATCCTATTTTTATCTTTCTTGTATTCATCTTGTTCTCTACATATAGACACTAACCACACTGAACCTGATCCACAATGACATCGACCCTGATGGAGCCCAACATCTAGCTGAAGTCTTACGAAATAACAAGGTGATTCTCATACAATTTTTATCTCTTTCGTATTCATCTTCTTTTCTACACATAGACACTAACCACACTGAATCTTATTTACAATAAAATCGGAGATTTTGGAGCACAATATCTCGCTGATGCCCTGCGGAATAATAAGGTGAATCTTATTCTATTTTCATCTTTCTCATATTCATCTTCTTTTCTATACATAGACACTCACGACCCTCATCCTTTACGATAATAATATCGGAGATGCGGGGGCTCAATATCTCGCTGATGCCCTACGACATAGCAAGGTGATTGCCATCCTATTTTATCTCTCTCATATCCATCTTTTTCTCTACTCATAGACACTCAAGACCTTGGCGATCGGTAATAATAACACTTCTTCAACTGTTCGCCAAGAATTGACAGAGCAGGACAATCGAATCAAATAATTTGTTTTTCATTACACGTTTTTGATTCTTAATAAACGATTTTATGCTAATTGCTCGTTGGATTACTATTTTCGGATGAGGGTGTATGACTGTTCGTGTGTGGTGATGAAGAAAAGACCAAAATCTGCAATGTGAGAGTGTGAGTGCAGATATAGGGCTTTATTGTACATTCACCCACCCCTCAAGATGAATGATATCATAGAGACATCTTGATAAAAATCAATAATTACATATGTAATCACTTTATTTATTTATCTACATCCTATTCGTTTATTGAATGAAAAATAAAATAAAGTTATAAATTTATATGTTTATAATTGTCGTGAACCGCGATAAATTGTTCTAATCTTTTTCTGAAATCGACGACAGATTGACCAACATTCTTTTCGAAATGTTACCGATACCAATGTGTATAAAAAGAAGATTACCTACAAAAATAAAAACAATATTAATATCAAAATACTCCAGTGTCTAATTTATTTTCATAAATTTTCCCTTACTGCACAATATGTATATAAGAGATTGGATGTCATTAAATTTATAAAACCATCCGTAACTATTTGATCATTAGTTTTATTATAATTTGCTGTTGTTAATGCATATACAGTATATGTTGTATTAGGTATATTTGATAGAATATAAACAATTATTTGAATCATACTTAGTCGTAACAATTGATTCTTTTGATTACGACGTCTCATTAATCTTCCATTTGTTATATTTTTTAATGTAAGTGTTGTAAATATCATGAGAATAATTAATGGTGCCAATGAAACGATTAAACTAAAAAATGTGAAAAATGATAAATAGAATGTTTCGAAATTTCCAGTACAACTATTATGTTCAATATGAAATCCAATAAGTAAATGAATATTAAACAAAAGCCAAATAATTGTACTAATTATTGTTAATAATCGAGTCATTCTAAGAGTACTTAAATTACGAATTGAAACATTTGTTGAAGTTACCATCCATCGATCGATTGATATTAAACATAGAAAATGACGAGAGAGAATAATTCCATTAACAAATAAATATGTACGAAATTTACAGATGAATAATGATGATACATTTAAATCGAATCCAGTTAATGAAACTATAATTCGAAAGAGACAACCAAAAACTAATACAAATAATTGAGCCATCGAAGCAATTATAAAATACAATGAACATCTATTATTTCGTAATGTACTCCAAGAGAAAACAATTCCATTAAAAATATTACCGAAAATACCAACAATAAATATTGGAATTAGATAATATTGACTAATATTAAGCAAAATCTTTTGAAGTTGCTCGGCTAATGTTGACATTAGATAAGTTAAAATATTTTTATTTAAATGTAATTAAGCTCAACATACATTTGCGATGTTTTAATAATTCTGTGCATTAAATTCTAAATATCGTGATACAATATTTGTGTCACGCATGCATACACAATATTAATGCAAAATGTAGAAGCGTAATCAAATAATGGATAGGGAGGACTGAGCTCCTATCCATGTAATTACAAAACGCAACCGCAAAAGAAATTGTGTTCGTCTCAAAAAACCTTCTGAAAAACATCTAATGTGTTGGGACGCAATTCTATTTCCGAACGTGTTTGCATGCATTTCTTTCTTGTGTATTAGACACAATTTTATCCCAAAAATTGCTTCTCTAAAAGAGTTAGCCACGTGATCGATGTACATATATTTTATTCATCTAAATTTCATTGGACTTTTTAATAAAGAATGTCCGGATGACATTGAAATAGTCTAAAATTCAGACAAATAATCGATATCTCTCTAAAGTTTGGATAAATAATAATGAGACAATATTGTAATAATTTACTTTTTTTTAAAATCAAGTAATTTATATGGATAGGCGTTGAGTCTAATAACTTTCTACATATTGAAACTAATCTCTTTGTGTAATATATGTAAATGTTGATTTTTTTTGTCTTTCTTTACAAAGTGATCGGATATTCAAATAGGAGAGGTTAGTAGATCGAAACTAATTAAAGGAAAAATTAAATATTCTTTTAAATGATTTAAGTATCAAAAAGCATTTATTCACACTTTTTTTGCAAAAGGAAATTGTAAAATGAAGAAAAACTTAAAAATTATTTCAAATATATATTAAGAAAAATCTTTTGTATACAATATAGAAAAAGAAAAACGTTAATGCAAATAAGTAATTCGACACAGTTAATATTGTCGTTAACAATTTTTCCTATATTGACAATAGAAAATTCTACATGTCTTTTCTATTACTTCACTTTTTCTCTTCTCACTATAAGGAGAAACAAAACTGATAGATTCTGTGCGTTCTAACAAAAAACATGTATTCTGAAATCAATGAAAAATGGATCAGTAAGTTAAACGATGAAATGTAATCCAAGTAGTTAACTTTCATCGTTCAATGGGTGATTTTTGTGATCATTGGAGAATTACCAGGTACATAATTTCCTAACCCTTTTTTCAGCTTTGACAGACTACAAATAATACTATGACTCATCTACATTTCTCGTTAGGAATACTTAATATAAAATTGATGTTTTATTCTATGATCTCACCTATTGCCATTGATAATGAACGAAATCTAAAATGAATTAAACTCAAGAAAACTTCCTCCACGATCAATCGCATATCGAATAGAACTTGTTTTTCAGGTTCCAGATAACCCTTGTACCTTTGGAATCAAAAGACTTACTCCTGACCTTGAGTGTGTGTGCTTAAGTGTCTATCTTCTCCCTAACCTACACTCTCACACTCAAGATTTTCTTTTTGTATTTATATTTAATCCACTTTCTAACTTTAGATAAAAAGTCATGTTATATGATATATCGAGTGAAATAGCCATTTCTTATATAGTTCGATTTTGGATTATTCTTCTCTTCTATATTCCATCAGTCATTTGTTCTTTCTTCGTTTTATATCATTTTCTATTCGATCGAACATTACGACAAGCTCCTCATAATCATGTTATTATTATTCTTCTTTTCATTAATCTGATTGTTCAATTAACAAGTTTTATCTGGATTCTTAATTATTATCGTTTAGAATATGTTTGGCCACAAACTTA